AGACTGTTGAGGGTTCAGCCTCCTGATGAGTCGGTGAAACTCCGACGAAACAGTTTGTCACAGCCCCTCGTTTGTTGTCCTCTTCTCCCTCTCTGCCTACGGTTTACCGGACAGTTCTGTTTGTGACGATATATATATATATATATATTTATATAGTTGTGGGTGTTTTTTTGGCCCGCCCGGTTTACCTGGGCGGCGTCCCCACTCAGTGTTAAGTTAACGGATTTTGGGAAGAAATACAAGTGGAATCCCTGGTGATGGCTATGCCGCCACATAGCCGAAACGCGCCAGGCATTTGCTGGAAGTAGCTGGGGGATTTTCGGAATCTGTTTCGACCTGCCTCTCCTTACGCGCTTGCACATTGTTCAAGAGGAATATGAAATGAACTTCACTTGTTTGAGTCCCTTAACTCCATTTTGAAACAGAAAAAAGAAAACAATAAATACATATTACACTGCTGACGAGGCAGGGCGCTTTCCACGGCCAACTGACACTTGCAACCAACGGGGCACTCTCACATGTACTCAAGATTCTGTATCCAGCTGCTTTTACGTCCAATAGTTGTTGCTGTTTTTGCTCTTTTTTTCTTCGTACAGCCGTAGGTGCTGAGGGCTGTAACCCCCATTGGGAGGGCATATTGTCACTTGTGCCCAATGTTCTGCATCCAGCTGCTTTCACGTTCAAAGAGTTTTTGCCTTTTTTCCTTTTTTTTTTTTTTTTCTTTTCCTATTGTGGTGTTTTGCTGAGGGCAGTAACACCCTTTGGCAGACTCTCACGTGTACCCAGCGCCAAGTCCCACTAGCAGCATTGAGTATCCTCAACGCCCGAATCTTGGCATGTTTGTGGAGAGGTGCGATTGAGGAAACTACACGTGATTTTCTGCACATCTCGACAAAGACGTCCAGATTCGAGCGTTGAGCAAACTCAACGCTGCTAGTGGGACTTGGCCCCCAATGTTCTGTATATGTCTTTGCTTTTTGCCTTTTCTTTGCTTTTTTTTTTCTTTTCTTTTCCCGACGGGTACCAGAAAAGAGAATACAAATGGAACCCAGGCTCGGCAAAACTCGGTGCGCAGTGAAATTCAGGGTCGGCAAAAACAGGCTCGGAGGTAGTGGTGGTTTAAGGAAACTTGGCCATGGTGCGCCCAAAGAAGAAGAGGGCGCTTGAGAGGTACTCCATAGCTAGGCTAGCGGTAGAGCAGGAGGACGGCAGCCATAGCCGCCAAGGTGTAAGCTACCTGAGTGGGTGTATCCAGGGTAACGATCTAGGGTAGAGAGAAGAGAGAGAGTGAGGCAGAGCAAGTCAAGTCAGAGAGAGAGAGAGAGGAGAGGGGAGGAGTCATAGCCGCTATCTGGTTGAGATCCATTGTGCGTGTGTGTGCGGCAGAGCCGCGGGGGACAAACATTCTTGTATATTGAATAGAAGACGACATCTTCAATGTTGATTGTATCTCGATCTGGCTTCTGACGTGTGAACTCTCATGTGAATGCTCATTGATGTATGCGAGGTTGAACTTTACGAAAACTTGGCTCATTTCAACTGTGACCCCGACACCACGCAGGGTGTGCAGACATCTTCATCATGTATGACTTGCCGATAATCAGCTTACACTTTCTTATACCAAATGAGATAGTAGTTTGTTGAACTTTGTTCCTATTTTTGTGTAATCCTTGTCCAGACAGATCCTGATGACCGCCGTAGCCACGCTTGAAGTTGATTTATGCATGCTGCCAGTGAACATAACGCTTTGTCTCTGATGTTTGCTGCTGCAGCCTTAATTGTGTTGCCTTCACAGATGATGGGCTTGTTGCCGGCGGGTTCTCAGACTCGTCAATCAAGGTAAGATGAGCTTCTCATCCTAGCTGTGCTGTCCGTGACCTACCTGCTGGGCTGGTCAGATCTCTGTGTTTAAATCCATTTGTGCTTGCGTCGCTGCGCTCCTGTTTTTGTGGCCTTTTTGTGTCTGCTCCCGCTTTACAGCTCCTTTCAGTCTGTCCATTTTTTCGTCCACCTTTTGGTGACCTTGCCTCTGCTTGTCTAATGTCATTGAGTCAGCTCTCCATCTGTGAGTGGATCCAATTATGCTAGCGCACTCTGCATGTCCTTTTCAACTGCATATATTTGCGGTGTGCCACAGAAGCAGTCTATCTTACACAGCAACCATGTGAACCATTTTTTATTTCTCATTTTTGAACTGCTCCTCCCTAGAGCATAAATGTGCGCACTGCTCATGCTTAAAGGCCTTTCTTTGATTTTCTTCTCCTTGTTCGCAAAATAGGCCCCATATGAACTAATCTCGTTAATGACGGCCGCTTTGGGGCTGTGGCCGCTGTGCTCAAACTGTGGCAAATTAGGCAAAGCATGAAAAGGCGCTTAGCAACGAATCGTTGTTTGTGTGTTACACGCCAGCAGCCTACAGCTTTGTGCTTGTACGAGTGTTGGCACTCCTCAACACTCCCGTCTTCACCCGAACACAAACGACGGCCATTACCACAGTATGTTGACTGAAAGTTGTCCCAAATGCAGCTGTAATGACCGTGCGCTCTGTTCGTGTGACGACGTTAGGAGCAGCCTTTACTGATCCCTGCATTGCATCTTCGGGAATCAATGAATCAGCTATTCGCACGGCCAGATTTGGACGGCCTCTGTGTGTGTCACGTCTTGTGAGACCATTCTCTGCTTGTCACCGTTTAGCATCCTGTGCTTGCGTATGGTCACGGACCCTCAGTGTGTGTAAGTCGATACTTATCATCGTAATTGTTTACTGATTGTGATGGATATATGGCATCGATGCCTCATGCACATTCAATTGCAGATATGGGACATGGCGAAGAGGAGTGCAGTGGCAGGCCAGAGTCAAGAGAAAGCAACAGGTGTTTGCTAAATCACATTGCTTTGCTGGGTTCAAGAAAGTATGACGGCTTGATGATGTGCATCTTCTTTGAATGATATTTTTTTCCTGGTTTTGGAGGGTGGATGAATGGCCAAGTGTTGATGTTATTTACACTGATTTTGTGTTTGCTGTTTCATTTATTTGGTTTCATCATTGTAACATGGGGAAAATCTGAGGCCATACTCACACTAGAACTCTCCTATATGCATCTGGGTGCAATTATGGCATGATAGAGATGCATCTCTCTGCAATGACGTCCAGAGCTGAGAGTGAGATTTGTTTTCTGGTTTTTGAGGGTGGATCAATGGGCAAGCGTTGATGTTATGTAAACCACTAGAACTTTCCTGTTTGCATCTCCCTTCAATTTTGGCATGATCCAGACGCATCTGTCTGCAATGATGTCCAGAGCTGAGAGTGAAATTTGTTTTCTGGTTTTTAAGGGTGGATCCATGGGCTCATTCCCGTTTTCTTTTTTAGGCGGTGTGTGGTAACTGACCTTCCCCCTCCCTTCTGCAAATCACGTAATGGACGAATTTGCGAGAAGGGTATAATTGCCCAAGCATCCTGCCCCACACTGTCTCGCAGAAGTCACAAAATATGTTTGGTGAGGCCAGCTGACCACCAATTTATGCTGAAGATTGGCATTCAGGTCTGCATGTCGGCAGTTATGGGTCTGGATTAAGATGCCTGTAGCTCTCTCGTTTTGTGTTTTTTTTTCCCCCTATGAATACGTAGAGTGGCCCAAAGGGCCTCGCTCCACTACTCACCACATGCGCAAAAGACATACCATATGGCGGTGTATGGTTCCATGTTTTAGCAGAATATTCATTCTAATGTTATACATTTGGTGAGTGGTGTGTAATGAACCCAGTCAGAAGAGAAAATCGTCAAGTGTCGAAATCATACTTGCGGCGCATTTGTGCGGTGCGCGATGCGGTGCGCTGCGCCATGCGGACTGCGCGCCGTGACACTGCGCGCGCATGTGCGCGAAAGTGCACACGAGGTGCGCCGTGCGCGCAGCGCGTGGGGACGCGCTACCCCTGCGAGGTGCGCACTGTGCGCCATGCCTCTTTT